CCTGGCATGGGGGGAGGCGTGAGTGGCAGGTCATGCCCATGTATATAGCTCCATTGGTGCGTGGGGCGTGTGTGTGCCCTCAACTCACATGAACTTTTTTTTAAAATTGTAATATAGTATGTTAAGCCATCTTAAGTCCTTCCTGTAGATTCTCCTCTAAAAGATTAGCCAAGAGCCAAAGTTTTTCTTTTTCTCTAAACAATTCTTAAATTTAGTCAACAGTCCAGGTATTTTTCTTTCAGACACTTTTTAATCTTATGGCTGGGCCAGCTCTTTCTTTGGTCCCAGCTGTCTTCAAGATTATTTAAAATTTGGGGGAAAAATCTAGTGAGATTGCCAATTCCTGAATAAGAATATCCAACTTTATTGTCCCCTTTAATGCTTGAGTGTCCTCCTTGATGCATCTTTGTTTCAATGCAAAAATTAATTGTGTGGGACACTAATTGTCTCTACTCAGCTGCAATGAGATAGAAAAGATGCTTTCTTAATCTGAAGACTGAAGCAGGCAAGACGGGAAACAGGGAACCTGGGACCAGACAAGACTGTTCTGTAAGAACAGTGCAGGTACCTACAACAGTCGGGACTGAAAAATGGGCTCATACAGTCTGCTATGGGAAAGTAAAGAAATTCTACTTCTTTTTCCTTAAAAAGGTAGGATTTAAACCTCAAAGCTTTAAAAGATTTAAAAAATAGTAGAAGCTTACATTCTACAGAAGGTATTCTTCATCATTACTAACGCTATCTCATCTCGGCGGTAACTTTTAAGTTTATCCTTGCATGAGAATTGGAGCCTTTAAGTAAGATCAATTGCGGTGGCTTGGGTGTAAATTAACATTTAATTATTTGTTTTTCTGGAAGCTTCCAGATATCTGGCAATAGTTCAGGTGCTCTAGTTAATTATACCGTGAATTATCTACAACTTGGGAATGTTATGATTTTATTATGTTGGCGCTATGTTCATTTCGCCAGTAAATTACCAGTTTTATTGAAAAATGTAGTTTTGATCTTTAACAGCTTAAATGGAGAATATTCTTCTGTGTCTGTACCTATGTATGCCTTAAAATCTCTGGGAGAGCTTCTAAAACAGCCTGCCCACAGGTCTATACAATAAACTACTGCACTTTTCTATGGAAGCCTCCCTAAAACATGTAATTTTCATGGAAAAGATTCCAGATTGAAAACGTTATCTGAGACTTTGGAAAACTGTTTCTATACTGGACTATATGAGTAAATAATCTGATCTGATGGAAACTCTCTTTATGAACATTTCAGATTCCATCTTATGACTACCTTTCTCTTGCATCTTCTCCTAGCTGTTTGAGTGGATAGTGGAATCGGTTTCTGACAGGCAGCACTCCAAGATCAGCATAGGCAGTGGGAATACAGAACAACGAAATATTTTTCTGCTATATACTTTCCCTATTGCCACTATTTGTAAGGCTCAAAGTCAGTCAGTTGTTATACATCTTCCCTTTTTTATCCCAACACTAGATGGCTGGTCTTTTGAAAAATGTGGGGTAGACAGCATCACCACCAGATGGATCCGTAGCTGGCTGACCGGCCGTACTCAGCGAGTGGTCCTCAATGGAACCGCATCTACATGGAGGGAAGTGTGTAGTGGGGTGCCCCAGGGCTCTGTTCTGGGCCT